ACCTTGTTATCTCTGTAAACATGAACAGGCTGGAGACATTGAATGACCTACTTCTCATGCATAAATGTTCACATAGAGCACAAGCATCTTTCCTCCACAATTCTGGGGGACAGAAGACTTTTAGGCTGTATTTCTTTTTCATCCCTTTTTTACTAAACTTAATCTAATACCTCCCGATGCATGATCCCACATGACTATTTGCATGTGAAATTCTAGCTGGATGGATCTTTTCTTTTAAGAAAAAAAGAAAATGCTGGAAATTCTCAAAAGACCATGTGGCATCTCTACAGAGAGCAGGCATTTTGATGTTTCAGGTAAAGACCCTTCATCAGAATAGTTTTCACGTGTTAAGTTGACTCCACAGAGGCTACCTGACCTATAAAGTATTGCAGGTTCTCTTATTTTGATTTTCTATCCATGTTTTGTTTTAAGGTTGACTTTCAGTGGGTTGCTGTCAGGACAGATGCATTTTATTGATACATACTTGGACTGAGGTGCATAAGGCATCATTGCAAAGTTTGTAGATGACACGAAACTCAGAAGTGAAGTTAATTGCAAGGAAGATAGTAACATGTTTCGGGACGAGACTATAGACTGACAGTTGAATGTTGTTTGATCGTGTGATATACAGTGAGAAATAATCTGATAAGGATAGCCATTATCCCACAGGATAGCTCTGATGCACCATGTTTCCTGAGTAAATCTGGTGGATTTATAACTCCAACGCAGCACAGTTTACATAAAATGACTATTTTGGTTGTATGCAGATAGATATTTAAAACAGATGAAAGTATCATTAGGAACAGCAGTTAGAGTTACTTGTGGATTTTGAACTAAACAGGATTCATGAATCGGTCCAAACTATCTCAAATGCAGGATGTTGTCGGCAGTTTAGGCTGATGGAATGTTTGCAAGCAATGACACTTGATACAAACACCTTTGGAACTTGTATTTATAAGTTGTGCAGCAACAGCTTTGCAAGAAAGTGGAAGGATATACATTTTTTTATTTGAAAATCTTGTGGTTTTAATATTGTTATGCATTCATTTTAGATTCAGGACCAAAGTCTGAGCGTCAACGCATGTTCCCAGAAATAATCCAACAAAATGTTTGCATTTCTCTAGTTTCAATATTGAATGGACTGTCAAAACTCATTCCCTAGAATCTTACATGAAGAATGACTATTTTAGCAAAGAGGTTTTTCTCCACATCCTCTGGAGAGAGGAGAGCGAAGGCAAGAGGAAATGCGTTGGGGGGGGGGGGGGGGGGGGGGGAGGAATTTATATACTTCTGTCAAAATACATAAATATGTTAAGTATAAAAGGAGGAGTCAGCCCAGTTTTGGAATATTAAAATGTTAACTATCAAAATTCTTGCACCAGATGAGAAAGGCAGTGTGTCTGTTTGGGCTATTGAAACAGAATGAAATCATCTACAATAGAGTAAATTAGTAATGATAATAACATAGCCTCACATTTTATAACTGCTTATTTTTCAAACTGATCAGATTTGCACTCATCCTTTCCCTGTCAATCCTGAAAATCATTTCCAAAAAGTCTACTGGTCTTCGTAACAGGAACAGAGTGTATTAGCCATAAGGCAGGTCTCCAGGAACGTAGGAATGGTAGACATTAAAAGACCAAGGCCCAGACATCTTCCTCGTATTCATGGTGAAAGAAAAAAGGGCAAGACTTGCATTTATACTGGGACTTCTATAACATGCTTAAGTGTTTACAGCCCAGGAAGCACAGTCACTATTGCATGGTAGGAAACACGCAACTAATTTGCAGCTTCCACAAACAGCAATGTGATTTTCATCAGATAATCAGTTTCTCCTAACATTGATTACGAGAAAAATATTGGTTGAAACATGGAGGATAACTCTTCTTTCTCTAGGATAGTGGAATCAGATTTGTACCATCCCCTTGAAAGGGCAGACAAAGGCCTATATTTAACATCTCATCTGAAAGATAGTTCACCCACCAGTGCAGCATTCTTTTAACAACATTTTGGTGCTCAAGCCTCTGAAGTGAGATTTGAATCCACAACCATCTGACTTCAGAAGCGAAAGTGTTACTGACTGAACCGTGGTTGACATGAGAGACAACCACACTGGACTTGTTGACTTATTCTGGAAAGACAGGCAGACATAAAGCACATAGCCTTGAAGAGAAGCACATTTCCTATTTTACAATGAGAAAATCAAACTAGTCTATGAACAGCCAGCTGTGCTGTCAGTCATGAAACATTAATATATATTGACTGCCAGCTTGAATCTCTTTGACTTACTGTGATGTTTCTGGGAACCTGCAAGAATTCAAAGTTTAGCTTTCTCTCTAAAGTCACTGACAGAAAGTGTTATTACATGTATTTAAAACACAAAAATTTCTGTTGACCAGAAGTTAGGCTGCAAATAAGCTCTCTATATTGAATTGCACTGATGTCCAGTCTATTCAAAGATGGACTCTACCTCACCTATAACTAGACAATTGCATGTATAAGCAGTGAAATTCCCTGGTTACATGTTTGCACTGATGAGAAATAGACAGTTACTTACTCTGGGGAAGACTCTGGAGTTAGGCTTGACATCTCCTCTGGTGTAGGTACTGTAAGGGGAGAACAGAAAAGTGTGTTTAAATTAAACATAGAACAACTGGCGTTTTGGAGGCTCTTGTAAGTTTGCACAAAAGCATTAACAATTATCAAATTCGACGAGCAATATAATAAGTTAGAAGCTCTGACACTTGCCAGTGACGTGTTTTCTTGATGTCAAAAAACAGATAGAGAAATGTAAATTAAATAATTGATGCTAGCTTGTTTCAAAAATTTTCTAATTTTCTCACTTTTTATGTCTGCCTGGGAAATAATAAAGTGTTATGAATCTAAATAGATTTGAATAATCTGTACTTTCCATATCAATTTGGATTTTAGGTGATGGATACTGTTATCTTTGATGATGCTGAAGTTAAACTTGATAATGTCTACATCACTAAATCAAGCAAATGCTTGACCTGACTGGACTGAATGTGGCAATAATACACAATCTGGTAGGCCAAAAAGAGGAGGTGGTGGGATTTGAGTTGTTAGGCAAAAGGAAGTGATGGAGATAGAACAATTACTTTTCTTCACAAAAAGGGCAATTTCTGCAATATATTTTGGCTTATTCAGGGAATGATGGTCAAGTCCAAATGTTTCACTGAGTAAGATACAGACTTTTGCAGGAATGATTCCATCTCCCAGGGTCTATTTCTTCTCAAAATAAAATCTTCCCGGTTGGGAGGATTAAATATCTCAGGTTAAAGTCAGATAATCCAGACTCTCCAGCAACTGCAATTCCTACTATCTCTAATCCATCAGGGAGTCTGGTTTTCTGGTACTAAGTGACTTCTAATATCCTCATTCTTACAAAATGTCAGAGTGAATGCTTAACTTGCAATTTGTGTGTTAAGCAATTAGTATAAGTCAATGGGAAACTTATTACTATAACAAGGTTACATGCAGTGATGGACTAAAAGGAATAGAACTTACGGATTGATTTCCCTCCCAGATCTTGCACTGGTGGAACTTTGCAAGGGTGGGACTTCACCTGGCCCATGATTGTTGCCTATATTCCTGTTTACTTTGTAAGGTTAGTGGTGGGTGAAAGAGATGTTTTGTGGGTTTAAAAGCAGGACATGCATTGACATGGAGCTAAGGAGACTGAATATGCATCGTTTTACCAGATAAATTATGTTCCACACTTGCTGCAGCAATGTTGAATGGAGAGTCAGAATGACATTTGTTTTGTAAAGGTGTAAAAGACAGGAAATACATAATTCAACTTTTTACTCCTGTCATCATTCTGGAATAAGGGAGACTTTAAATCCTTGCCCACTGGAGTCATCCCAGGGAGCTAGCATAACTCAGGAAACCCAACACTTAAACATTTAAAAGGAAACAATCTTCTTTCTCCTTCTGACATTCTTTGGATTTATGCTGTGCAAGAAATGAATCTATCATTGGCAGCTGCTGAACAATGGAATATCAGACAATCAAGTGGATTTTCAACGTATTTTTGTTCTTTTTTTGCCTCATGAATGCACAACACTAATATTCTGCCACACCACTTTGCAATATAAAATTCATCACTCAGAAGGTACAGCACAGTATTTGGCCCTATTCACTCTTGTGTTTCTATTAAAGGGAATTTTATGAATTAGCAAATTAAAACATCTTGCTTGTTTTCTGAGTTTTTCACATACATACAAACATACACATTAACAGCAGCAGTAGACCACTAGCTCCTCGAGTTTTCACCGTTTAATAAGACTATGGTTTATCTAATTACTCGATGTTCCCGTCTCCCCAATAACATTTCACTCCCTTGCTTATCAATAGTCTGCCTCCTTCTGCCTTAAAAATATTTAAGGACTCTGCTTCCAAAGACTCATTGGCTGCGAACTGCTGAGTGTATCAGGTAATTAAGTTGTGGGGATGATGAATCTTTGATCATTTAATTCCACTGTGGTTAAGTGGGAGGGTAAGTATTAAAAAAAGGACAATCATAACCTAAATATTTTCTTTGGGCGTTATGGCAGCTTCATTGTTACGAAATGAAAGTAATTTAGGGCACATTGCATTGGAGACTTTTTGATAGGATACATCCAAACGCTCAGCTGGAGAGAACAGCCAGATTTATATTATTGCAAAGTTCCATCATAAGTAATGGACTTTTAACTTTTGAAAATACAATGATATTTTTGCACCATAATGAGAAACCTGTTTTTCCTGTAATCATTGCTGGTACTAATATATTTTGCTTAGAAAGCAATAAAAGAAAAAATCCAAGCTATATTACAGTTAGATTGAGAGGTTATAAGAAAAAATGAGTCACCTAATTTGGAATTCACTCTAGCAAAGCAAAAATACCACAGTGTGGGAGTTGAGGGAGTGTGACTGTAGTTATGTAAGCTGAAAACAATATTAGCTGATGTAGACTGAAGTTGTGATGACGTTTGGATAAAACAGATCTTTAACGACACAAGCTACAAGCCTTAGTATGGTAGTTCTCAAAGAAAAGTTAAATTTAGCAAAACACTAATTTTGCACTATGCTTCAAAGGAAGGCGATTACGTTGATAAAATTAAGGTGAATAATAAATCGAACTGTTACAGGTATAAGTTGGAGCAGAGTAAAATACCACACAGAGACATTGAAACAATATCAAAGGGAAGTATTAAAGGCCCTCTCATGTGGTAGTGGGGGCGTTTAATTAAACAGGGGAATAGAGCACGGGGACACACTGCTTTCCTGTCTCCACTATGATTAGTAATGGGAAGGTCAATGGATAGACTTCCTGACCCATTATCAACTAACGACTTAAGTCAATTACCACTTAAGGACCACATTTCCCCTGCCACTGCAATTAACCCTGGTACGGTTGCTTGTGGGTTCACAAGAGGGATTCCTTGTTCAAAGTCACAGTGTCTGATCGAGGGACCAGGTATTGGAAAGGTCCTGGGAGATATGAGGTAGAGGATAAGCTCTACTGTCAGCCACTGCCTTCTGCCCTTGCTGCCTATCACCTACCCTTGTGACTCTTGCCTGCCATCACTCATCCGTGACCTGGGATCCAGTGACAGTCCAAGGTCTCTATTAGGTGTAATACTGGCAACAGCCCCCACCTTCCAGGGGCATTGATAGCCTCCGTTTGGCTGATTTTGCAGGTGACACTTCCATCCCAGAGTCTCTGCCCCACATAAGGCCTACTGCTATCTAGTCTAGTGAGCTGGCCGCCACACGTTTATAATCAGTTTCAACTAACCCAGGGACCAAATTGAACTCTGGGACTGGGGGAGGTGCAGGAGGGAGATGGGTGGGTGGGAATGTTGTGGAGGTGCTGGTGTTGGACCGAGGTGGACAAGGTCAGAAATCACATGACATCTGGTTATGGTCCAATAGGTTTATTTGAAAACATAAGCTTTCAGAGTCTTGCTCCTTCTTCAGGTGTTAGTGAGGTGGTATCAGACACAGAATTTATAAGTAAAAGATCAACAAGCTAGCGGATAGCTCATTTCACGCTAGGAAAGGAATAGTCAGGAAATGGGCAGAAAACAGCTGCTGGGTGCCAGATAACAGAACTTCTCATGTGGTATAATTCAGAAATAATGCTCCTTCTAACCCATAGAACGTAAGAATTCCATTCCTTTTGGATGTCTACATCTTCATGACAGGTCTCAATTCTCAGGCCCGGTGGAAAGGACATAGTGGTTTTGCACAGGATGTAGTATTAAAACCACACACCTTGGCTGAATTCACCCAATGGAGATGCAAATTGAGCTGGGAACGCTGAACAGTTTGTTTTTTTGAATTTCCTGGCCACATCACCATTTTTGTGCGGTCTCTCCCAGAATTAGGAAGGTTTTGGCTGCAAAACATCTCTGTACACTTCCAAAGTTGAGACACAACTGTGAGGGTCACGGGAAAATTGTACTTCCTCCCACTTGCTATTTGTGTGTGTTGATGAGTTTTGTAATCTTTCCCCAACACAGCAAATAGGAACAGGACTAAGCTATTTGGCCCCTTGAGCTTACTCCACCATTTAATTAGACCTTAGTTGATCTCCTACTTTCAATTTCCTACACTACCTCGCCATCCCTTGATATCTTTAATTGCTGGAAAACTACAGATTTCAGTCTGGAATATACTCAATGATTAAGAGTTTTGTGGCCACTGAGGGAAGATTGCTGAGAAGTCAAAAGCATTCTGACAGATAATTGTAAAATGTTTTCACACCTTAAAACGTCACTATTCGATGCTATATTGTAATGCAGTGTACTTAGAAAGTAACAATGCATCATGGGGATTTCTCTAGTAAATGTAAGGTGTCCTTTACATTGACCAGCATTATGTAATTGTTCTCATGTACTGTAATACTTTCCAGTTGCCAAAAATGCCATAAAGCATAACAAAGTGCATAAAAACCTAGCATGTGTCCAGTCAGCCTCTGTTGTTACATTGTGTGCTGGGATTTAAATTGGCAGACAGCTCTAGCTATTTAAAAACAAAACTTACTTTTGAAATGCAAAAGCAATACTTGCACTTACTCTCATTCACTATATGACAGACAAACTAGTTTGAATTGGACATGGAACATCATTCTATTCTGTCAGTTTCAGGCATTTTAGCTGGAAGCCTTTGTTATGACAATTGTAGCATTTATGAATGCTTGATTGGGCTTCAAAACCACAATAGCTTCAACTCAGCAGTGGTCTTTTCATCCATGAATGACTGAGATTTTAAGATGCTATAATAACAGCATAGGCTGTCAATGTGGTCTTTTTTTTTTCTTAATTCATCTATCATTTTTGGGCATCACTGGCTGGACCAGCATTTATTGCACATCTGTATTTGCCCTTGAGGAGGTGGCAGTGAGCTCTATTCTTGAACTGTTACAGTCTATTTGCTGTAGATACACCTACTAATGCCATTAGGGAAGTAGTTCCAGGATTTCGACATAGAAATATACCGCTGTTACTTCAGTGTCACTAAGTCAGGATGGTAAGTGGTTATGATGGGAACTTGCAACTGATAGTGTTCCCATGTGTCTGCCATCTTTGTTCTTCTGGATGGTGGTGGTTGTGGGTTTCTGCAAAGTATCTTAGGCAGATAGTGCACACTGCTGCTACTGAGCGTCAGTGGTGGAGGGAGTGAAGCTTGTGGATGTAGTACAATCAAGAAGGTTGTGTGTCTTGGATGGTGGTGTCAAGCTTGGAGTTTTGTTGGGGGTGCTCTCATCCAGGCAAGTGGGGAGTATTCTATCACACTCTTGACTTGTGCCTTGTAGATGGTGCACAGTTTTGGAAAGTCAGGAAATGAGTTATTCACTACAGGATTCCTAGCCTCCAACCTGCTCTTGTAGCCACAGTATTTATATAACTCGTCCAGTTCAGTTTCTGGTCAATGATAACCCCAGATTTTGACAGTGGAGGACACACATAGTGCCACACGCATTCTCTTCATGCACTCCATCATGGCTTGCATTCCACTGAGAGCCCCTGTGTGAACTAACAGAAAACCAAGGCAAAGTGATACAGGTGGGATTTTCTGAAGTCCAGGAAAAGCCAGACGCTGGTATCTGGCTTTATGTGAAACCTTTGACTTAGTTCAATTACAACAGCTACGTTACAAAAGCTAAATGTGAAACTAAGTTGAAAAAGGGCAAAATTTGTCAACAGCTGATTATTTCATAAATATTCCTCATTGACTCTAATTCAGATCCATCAAAGTTGCTAATAATATGAGGCAAAAGTGCTTTTTGTCTTACACTGGTATATTTCACCAGTGACATGTCTCTCTATGTCTGAAATGCTCTGTTTAAGTGATGCCACTGCAAGTGTGTCTACCTCCTGATATCTGGTGCTACATTTTAAAAATTAAAACCCCTATTCAGTATCGCTTGCTGAGTGTGATACCAAAAAAAAAACTGAATGGTGACAACTAAAAGATTACATGTGCATTTGTAATCTAGTCAGTTTAGTTAGCTTGGGTGGGGGCTAACATGAGGGAAAAACAGATCCATATTTCCTCCAATAACCAGCTTTAGTCATTCAAAATCTACAAATCTTTAAGGTGTCTGAAACTGAAACACGAGAGGAACTTCATTTCTCATGCCCAGCCCCCTGATTCAAAATGCAAGCCATCTCTCAGTGGGGCAGTCGCAAGTAATCCCAGTTATTTCTGCTATCGTAAAGAACATGATCAGAACATTTCAATGAACTTACATAAAAGTCAAATGTTGTGAAGAACTTGCCTTGTAATTTCCTGCGATGAAATCGAGGTGATCCAAGGAAACTGTTTTTGATCGAGTTCAGCCGCGTTCTCCAAGGCATCCCTCCAATACTGGGGCTGGATGGTGGTGTTGGGTTCGGAGTACTCGCCGGACTCTCCTTGGGAGTGTGAACTGGTGTACCCTTTGGGGTGGGGAGGGGACTTCCGCGAGGGGAAGGGTGAGGGGTCACCTGTATTATGGGGATAGATTTGGTGCTTGGATCAGTACCAGGGATCAATCTGACAAGAGAAAGGGGGGTAATCTGGACTGAAGGAATAAACAATTGGGTAGGTGATGTGGTTGCACATTGCTGACTCTGAACGTTTTGAACCGAAGTTTTCTGAGGAGCAGGTGCTTCTGATGTTACAACAGGAAGTGGGTTAGATTTAACTGTTTGCAAAGGTTTGTCTGCGAGCTTACTTTTAGCAGGAAGAGTCTGTGTCTTTGGATTGGGTTGAAACCCTAATTTTGGTTGAAGCACATTAATGGGCTTTGTTGCATTTCTATTACCGAGAGGAACTATGGAAGCATGTGCTTTGGTAAAGGGGGTAAGATCAGGACTCTGGGGAGGAACAAAAAGCTTTCTGATAGGCTATGCGACAGACAACATCATGCAAGGAGAGTCAAAGGAGAAATAAAACAGACAAGACAAAGCATGGAACACAGACACCAATCAGGAAGATGGGAGTGCAGAAAACAAAAATATGTGCTGTTAGGCCGTAAGCAACAGTTATAACAAAAAAAAAGTGAGCATAAGATACTGTCAAATACATAGGAATTCAAAAATCATAAGATTTATGCCAGCAAATTAATAGGAAGAGAAGCAGCACATTATAATTAATGTGTCTGATGAACTAAAAGGCAAACACATAACCAAAGTGGCAACAATTATAACTCATAGTTAAGGGGCTCAACAAATTCTTATAGTTGTTACTTTTAAAAGCAAAAATCAAGAAGCAAAAAGCATTAATTAATGAAATGCACTTGGAAGCATTATGTGGCAGGGGTATTTGATCAATGTCACTTACCCTTGGACTGCTGAGAGGGCTAGTGGAAAGGCCAGAAGATGCTCCACTTATTGACCTGGATCTGCACAGAAGAAAGTACACCAGAATCAACTCAGTATTTTACAGATTTGTCTTATAAAGAAACAACGTACAGAATTCATCACCCTCTCAAACACGATGCACTTGATCCTCTGCCTCCTTTTGGCTCCCGTTCATATTATAGTGTTTTTTGAGAAACAGAAGAAGACATGTAACAAGCTAGAATTAATCTAACTTGCTCGCTTTCTCTCCTGAAGCATGTTTATTGGTCGGTTTGAGATCCCCAGACAGTCAAGAGCCTAACCCACTTACCAAGACTAGAAGCCTACTTAATGGCATAATGGTGTGCCATTATGAGGGAAGGGAGATAGGTGCCTCAAAACCAGGTTTTCAAATTATGTTCATACACAGAATTTTCCAGCAGACACATTGGACAGTAATCAGCAGGGAAGACCCTAGCTAGTTTTCCCCTCCCAAACAAGCTGTACCAATGTCCCAGCTCAGGTCAGCTAACTTAGCATACACTGGTATTCGAGTGCAGGACATTTGTATTCATATTGTTAAGGTTTACCAAGCATTGCACTTACCAGCTGAGCCATCTGCAGAACTTGCCACATTAGCTTAAATTTTGCTACATTTTGCTACACATTATTCTTGAACCATCATGTGATCCAGATGCTACAAACATTTTAGATGTGACATGGTGTAATGTGAGAGAACGAAAAATGTTCCAGCACATTTAACAAAAAAAGATTAAAATATATCCAGTCTCACTTCTCGGTTATACATATTAAAGTTGTCAAACAAAATTCTATTTTCATACACTAAAAAGCAGCACTTCCTAGTGTAGACAACGAATGAGAAAAAAAAACTTGCTCCATTGTAAAATTGACACATGGATTTGCTCAATACCGCCTCTGAATAATTTAATCAGTGTGAAATAAAGGATTAATTATAACCAGCAGCATCCCACAAGGTGGAAAAAGGAACATTAGGAAATTTATACATGCAGATATATCAAGCAATTAGACCTGTCATATTATCCAAGGGAACACCTTTAAATAAATCATCAGAATGCCATGCATAGACTTTAGGGGAGGAAAACAGCATAGAACAGAGCATCAAAACAATCGGGAATCATTTCCCAATAATGTGCACTCGAAATGCTCAGGCTTTCAATAAATGAAAATAAACTAATTTGGGGATGTTAAAAGGTGGGGGGAGGTGAAAGCCACCCAAGCCAGAGGTTAAACAATGCCATGGACTTGTTGTGCAACAGATACAACCCTCGCCATTCAGATATGGGACAGAACCTCTAGGGAGTGGGGAAAAGAGGAGGAAGAGGAGATAGCTATTCCAACAACCATGTGCACTTAAGGGCATCTAATGCAGCTACCCACAGTGAGGGAGAAATCATGTGAAACACTTTTACTACCTTTCTTCTTTGTTGATTCTGGGATTGGCATCTGTGATATCCAAGCTTTTACTGAACATACTTTTACTACAGTAGGGACAGTAAAACAAAACAAAAAAAACATAATTACATTGGTACCGAATTTAAACAGGGGCTATTTTAAAACTTGATATATATATAGTTCAAGAAAGAAAGCTTTTTTTTAAAACTGAGAGCCACAGAAACAAATATTTTGAGCATATCATTAAACCTCCTCAGCCCATTCAGAACAATGAAACATGTTTTAATTGTTGGTAGAGGTGCCCACTATTCCAAACACAAAATAAAGTTAACACTGAGTTAAGATTATTTTTGCAGACAGATTAAAATATGTATATATGGCAAATTAAAAAAAAATAGGATTTGAAAGTGCAGCATGAACATCCAATGCTATTGTGATTCAAGACTGCACATCTTCCCTTGACATCCCTGATTCTTTGCCATGTAACGTTCAGTCTGATCATATCCGGGCATGCTCAAGCCCAAAATGCCCTGTGTTGTGCAATTAGCATTTGAATTGTCACCCACTCACATACAGTGTCTTGATATGTAAGACACAAGGGATGTATAGATGCAAGGGATGCTCTAGGTTTGTGCTCTGAAATTCATCACAGAAGCTCTTCATTCTTGCTGAAGCCAACAGAATAATCACCACATCTTTAAAGCCGCAAACACAAAGAAAGCCTCAATTCATTCCCTCTCTTAGTTGGTGAAATAGTATTTCATGATTTGATACCACAATACAATGCTGTACCTCTGGCCATGCTGTGCCATTTCAATAGCGCGTCGAGCTGGAACCGGGGAGCCTCCGTCAGTAACGCTCAGTACCTCCATCGATTTCCTTTCAGGTCGTCGCTTGCCATGTCGATTTAACATTGGTGAGTCTACTCTTTTTCTAGGTGGATCTTGCAAGACCCATGACAATTAAAAATTGCATATCAAAAAATGTCACAATTAGTATTATTCCCTGCAATTTAAGGCTTCTTTTCTAAAACAATCTGAACATCCGAATTGTTTGAAGAAATGAATATTTAGTACTGATGAATGTTCTTCTATCATTGGCCTAGATTTTGCTGTTAACAACAACAGAAAAGTGATTAGCATTCTCCATTATTGCTTGATACATTTGATAACAGGTTCTGACAATAAACAGATAAAGGGGAGAAATCCAAACAAACTTCAACAGAAAGCTGTTTTACATGATTTGATTTTTGGAAAATGTTGGTGTTTCCAGTAGGAATTTACCAATGAACTGATTGTAGTTTGCATGTGGAGAATTTAAACACAACCTTGTCTAGTCACTTTTTAAAAATGTGCTTGTCCTTTGTTGAAAACATCAACTCTTGGCATTAGAAGTCTCTGGAGCCTAATAAAATATAGATTTTCACGCGTGAGCATATGAATGCTGTGAGGATATCACCCAAGCCCAGTCTTACCTGTAGTTCAATGACCCCATTCTCTCACACACGCACTCACACAGATTTTAGGAAAGACTATGAGATGGTAATTAGGAGTGCAAATTATTCATTCTTCAAAAACAAAGACTGGGATCATTGCATGTTTTGTGTAAGCAAAACAATCATTAATTTAAAAGCAGCCATTCTGATTATATTTATAAAACTCACAGAACACCCTTTGCACTCACCTGTATCATTTTGAGGAGGCAAATCTTCATCTTCATGGCTTGGATACCGCTCTTTCCGATCAAGAAGAAGAAAATAGATCATTTTTTCCTGATTTTCTCTGCAAATCAGAAAAAAATGTCAACAGTGGTCTTCAGTCATTTGATCCCATCATAACGTACCTGCACACTGTTTTATATGCATAATATGATTTATAAGCATACAATTCTACCATCTCATCTGGCTCTAATTTGTCTATTTATAAAACTTATACATTATACTCACGCTGCCTTAAGGCACTAGAAATTAATGCAGATAATATATGACTGTCATTGAGTCATGTTCCAGTTTTAATGCAACCTTCCCAGCAGAAAAAGGATAGGTGTGCAGTTAAAGCTGTAAAGAATTGCATACTGTCCCTTTCCTATCAACTACAGAGCTGTTCCCAGAAGGCCTCACCCAACTCTGAAAGGCCACAGGCCTAGCTACTTGGATAATGCAGGAGGCTGAGTTTCACCAGACAGACTTCGCAGCCTGTTGCAGCAGGACCAGTTGCTCAGGAGATCGGGTACATGGCATGCTTTTTTCCAGTGGCTGTCATAGTTTTTCACCACCGACTTCTTCCAACTACTGCAAGGGATGTCAACACAACATTTGCAGATGTGGACAGGTTTCCTAGCGAATTCAGGCCGCCAGACAATGAGTCAGCAACTAACACCACCCACCACCCACCACCCCCCCCAAACACACAGACACTCTCTCTCCCAGGTAAGCTGTTCCAATACAGCGATAACACTCACATTTACTAAGCAATGTGGAAAACCTCTGTCCTCGTCTGAGATGTGGTGACTCTCAGGTGAAACCACCACCATTCATCTCTCCCTAACGATACAGCAGCCCTGTGGTCTAGTAAAACTATTATGATGAAGGGAAAGAAAATTAAAAATAACCCTAATTTCAGTGCAAAATGTTTCCTGTTTAAAAAGCTCTAGATACTTGGGTAAACCCAGTGCTTGCACAAATGCAGTTCTTTCTCATTTTGCAAACCACTGAATCTACATCCCAAATCCATCCTTGTATCAAGGAACAGCTCTAGCTTTATGATGGGAAATGTTCTAAGGTATAAGTGAAAATGAATAGAGTGGTGAAAGGAAGAAGGTCAAGACAGCAATTGAAACTTCGTCTTCAAACTGACATGTCTTTACTCTAGGCAGTATGCATTGACCCTATGGAATTCTGTACCATAAACATATCTCAAAAAAAAAGGTTATTGTTAATGTATCAGACTGACGTTATTTTTTAAATGTTTATTCTCAACATTCCCTTATAAATACCAGTTTAATTTAGGTCTGCTGACTAGTTGGGGTAATGAAACTAGGAGCTCTCAGGAGCTATTTCGCAAAATACAGACTGCACTGAATTTAGGGTTCTTTTTAACTTTCGCGCCCTTCAGAGCATAACAAGAGATGAGCTGCACATTTAAACATTTTAATTCCATTAAACAGCTGCCAGCACAAGGCTCTATCTGGTGCAGTTTTTGACGGAATAAACAAGTGCAGCTGTAACATTTGGAAGAACCTCTCAATTAATGACAGACAATAGTTATTGTTACAAATAGAAAACTAGCACAACACATGAACATCATTATCAAAAGGGAATAAAACTTACTCTTCTGATACCAAATCTTGCATGAGCTTGTTCTTATCTCTAAAGCAACCTAATGAGTGCATGCTGTCCAGGACATCCGGATCTATATCCTCCAGTGACGGAAGTGAACGTATCTGTACCTTTCTTGGAACAGGTTGCTCTGGTTCGGGTTCATTTTTACCCCCGCTGTAAGAACATAAAATCCCAAAATTCCAGCTCCATAAAATAAACTGCATTAGTTGAAGCGTTTCCATCACTTAGATGTTTTCTTAACATTGTTTTACATCAAAAAAGTCAACTTGCCCACTGAGGTGGTGATGATTGCTGCTGGGAATTAAGTTTTTTTACTGGCCAGATAAGATTCCCTCGTGTTCTATCTAACAATGTAGCCTAATTCCAGCAAAACAGCACCCGTGTGACCTCTGAATGAGAGAAGGCCATAATCAAATTAATGCACTGTGAAGTGCACACTTAACTGCTGAAGCCATTTTCAATGATTATATTACAATTCATTACAATCAGCAGCCTTTCAGTCTGCAGTTGAATTAAATCCAGAGATGAACAAAAAATGTTCCGACTCAGAGTCACCCAGTTGATTCTTCATTAAAAAAGCCTTGCCTGGCTGGAAGTGACTGAGACTTCAATTTATATAAATTAACGTATTTGTTTGATTTGATGGAGAAATGCTCTCAGTTAAATATTTAACTTGAAATTTGACGATAAAGGAACAAACTAAATGTAGTGAGCCATTTATCTCATATTCTGAGTGAAGGGAATGGCGAAGATACACCAATTTTTCTACATTTAGGATGATGCTGTGTAGGTAAGGCAGCAAGTACTCAGATACAAATCTCTTACTGAATATTATATAGAACACTACCAGAATATGTTACAAATGAAAACAGAAATTGCTGGACAAAAATCAGGAGATCTGGCAGCATCTGCGATGAGAAAACAGTTAATGTTAACTCAAAAACGTCAACTCTTTTTTCTTCTGAGATGCTGCCAGACTTGCTGAATTTTTCCAGCCGTGTCTGATCTTGCTAATTTCAAATCGCCATATCGGCAGTTCTTTGTTTTACAGTTTACAATCTGGTTCATTCATACTCATGATTGAATTGCTAAAATGTGTTGTATTAGTAACCGTCCCAAATGGAATGCTCATTTTCAGCAATGGGTGCCCAGGTGTAGGATCTTCTCTGTTAGCTTATGTGACAATACTATGGCTTTTAGATGTGTACTTTGTTCTGGTTTTTTTTTGAAAAAAGGGTTTTGAGACAGAGTTGTCTCTTCCAAGCCAATAAAGTAAATAGCTTGTGATGCCCATTTTTTTTTTCAAAGTTACAACAATAGAAGCAGCATGCGTGGATGGAGTCAGGCTCCCATAGAACCAGTGTTTTAGTTTAGCTTTCAGTAGTGGTTGGAGTTTTGAAGTTGTTGGTGGAAGCTGCTATATATCTCTCCTGGTTACAGCAAAAAGCCCGAATTCTCTTTCTGCCAGAATTTTCTCTTGGTGTTCTTTTCTCCTGGAATGGAGAAACATCTCATCTGAGACAATCTATTTTACTGAATTTGCCTTTGCCAAGAGTGTATTTATGGAATGTTACTACATTGGAACAGCGGCTGTTTAGTAGTTAAATAATCTATTATTCTGTTAAGTTTTCCAATAAAGTTAAAGGTACACCAATTCTTCTTTCTTTGTTTGAATTTTAACCAGGTGTCAGAATAAAGTGTGTTTTGTGTTAAGCCAAGTAATGTAACCAATTGAATTACATCTGGAACATAGCACCTTACACGTCTTTGAAAAAGATAAAAGTTAGGGTCTAGGCCATCTCCTTGATATATTTGTAAGGAGGTTTGATCTGGTCCATAACATGTAGAATAGCAGGAATGAGGGAAAGACAGCAGAATTAGCTTGTGTCATCCTGAACCACCTTCAGAAATGCCTTAATGGCAACTACAAAGGGACAGACATTGGTAATAGCACTAGCAAGTTGGCTGTTTAACCAACTTCTTAACCAACAAACAGACTTTTTGCCGAAGAAGAAAAAATGAATGATGAGTAAAATAACACTTAAAGACATTTGAAAAAGAGACTATAGAAAAATCAGCCACCTCGAGGTTTATAAGCCACAACAAGATGTTATATTTTGACCAAAATATTTTGTTTGCTTTGTTTCTCCTCTACTGAAGGAATTTAACTCATGGTTGTATATAGACACCAGCCTCCTTCTGGTCCTTCATTCTGCACAAGCCTAGGCAATGCATTTCAACAGACTAATAAACTGCAACTACTTATTATATCCAATCCCTCTCCAGGCCTCATTACTCAGCAGGAATGAACGAAAAGTAAAAATATGTGCAAAGAAGCACAAAGAATAGGAATAGGCCCTTTGATCCACCGAGCCTGCATTAACAGATGATGCTTTTCTAAAATTAAAAACCTTTGGCCTCTATGTGATCCGAACCTTTTGATTCCTTGTCAATTCATGTATCTGTCAAGATGCCTCTTAAGTGTTGCTATTGTATCTGATTCTACCATCTCATGGCAGCGCTTTCCAGGCACTTACCACTCTCTGTGTAAAAATGTGCCTCTCACATCTCCTTTAAACTTTCCCCCATTTACCTCAAACCTACGCCCCCTAGTAATTGACATTTCTACCCTGGGAAAAAGGGTCTGCGTGTCCACTCAATCCAAGCCGCTTATAATTTTGTAAACTTCTATCAGGTTGCACTCAGCCTCCAATAAAAACAAACCAAGTTTGTTCAATCTCTCCTCATAGCTAATACTGGGTAACATCCTGGTAAACCTTTTCTGTACCCTCTCCAAAGCCTCCACATCCGTCTGGTAGTGTGGCAACCAGAATTGTATGCAATATCCAAATGTGGTCTCACTGAAGTTCTATACAACTGCAATATGACTTGCCAATTTTTATACTCTATGCTTTGATCAATGAAGGCAAGCAATGCTATATGCCCCTCCCTGACCATCTTATCTTGTGTTGCCACTTTCAGGGAACTGTGGGCCTCTATACCCAGTTCACTCTGTATGTCAATACTTCTAAGGATTCTGCCATTGACTGTATACTTCCCTCCTGCATTAGACCTTCCAAAATGCATCACCTCACAATTGTCCAGATTAAATTCCATCTGCCATTTCTTGGCCCAAGTCTCCGATCTAGATCCTGCTGTATCCTCTGGTAATCCTCTTCACTATCAGCAGCTCCCCAATCTTCCGCAAAGTTATTAATCCGGCCACCTACATTCTCCTCAAAATCATTTATATATATATTACAAACAACAGGGGTCGCAGCACAAATCTCCAGTCAGAAAAACATCCTTTCATCGCTACTACTGTTTCCTCTGACTAAGCCAGTTCTGTATCCATCTTATCAGCTCACTTCATCATCTATATCAGCCTTCCATGAAAGACCACGTCAAAGGCCATGCTAAAGTCTGCAAAGACAACATCCACCACCCTGCCCTCATCAATCAGCTTTGTCACTTCCTCAAAACACAAGTTTGTGAAACATGATTTCTCCCACACAAAGCCATGCTGGTTATCTTTAATAAGCCCATAGTTTTCAAAATGTGAGTAAATCCTATCCCTAAGAATCTTTTCCAATGATTTCCTTACTACTGATGTAATGCTGACTGGCCCAGATTATCCCTGTTGCCCTTCTTAAATAAACAGGGGCAGCACGGTGGCTCAGTGGTTAGCACTGCTGCCTTACAATACCAGGGACTGAGGTTCAATTCCACCCTTGGGCGACTGTGTGGAGTTTGCACATTCTCCCCTTGTCTGTGTGGGTTTCCTCCGGGTGCTCCCGTTTCCTCCCCAAGTCCAAAGATGTGCAAGTTAGGTGGATTAGCCATGGGAAATGCAGGTTTACAGGGATAGGGTGTGGATGGGTCTGAGTGGAATGCTCTTCAGAGAGTCGGTGTGGACTCAATGGGTCAAATGGCCTGCTTCCATACTGTAGGGATTCTATGAAAGAAAGAACACTGGCCATTCTCCACTCCTCTGGAACCTTTCCTTTGACTAAAGAGGATACGAAGATTTCATTTAAGGCCCCAGCAATTTCCCCTCTTGCCAAGTTCAGTATTCTGGGATAATCCTATCAGATCCTATGGACTTGTCTACTTAAATGCTTTACAAAACACCCAACACCTCTTCATTTTTTAGTATGTCCATGTGCACTAGAATATCAACATACCCTTCTCTAGACTCACCATTCACCATGTCCTTCTCCTTTGTGAATACTGATGCAAACTATTTATTAAGCATTCATCCATTCCTCTGGCTCCATGCATAACTTCCTCCCTTTGTCCTAGAGTGGACTCCCACCCCCTTCCCCTAAACCCTCTTGCTCCATATATACATATTAAACATTTTCCTTCATCCAGCTGTGATATTCTCCCTATTCTAATGCAATTCCCCCAACCTTCTTTACATCCTCTCTATCATGCCTGAAACATCTAAACCCCAACAATACAGTTATATGTATTAATGCAGGCACGTACCCGAGTTTTCTAGGGACTGAGGTCAATTATAGAACTTAAGGCAACCCTCACCGAGATTCACAATTTAAGTACAAACTGGGATTATATATTGGAATCCTTCTGGTCTGAAATAACTCAGTTCTACATTGATCTTTGATACTTGTTTATTCAACCATGAGGAAAAATGTGTTTTCTTAAATTAGCTTTAGAGTAAAACGGTTATGCATCAAAAATGTTCAAGAATAAATAAAAATCTAAAAGAATGGAAATTCATGTTCAAGTTCAAATATTGCCAAGCTATTTTGTTTCATTAGGCTTCGATATGCCAGCAATGATTTGTGAGAGAATGCAAAAGTCAAGCAGGTTGAATTTGCCAGAAGGGGAAAACAAAGATAGGAGCAAATAAAGATGCTAATAAATATAGCCAAACTAATAGTTGTACTTACATATACCAAGAATGTTTCTGAATCTGGTCTAGCTGTTAAGGAAAATAAATTGAGTAATATATTACTTAATGACAAATGGTATGAAGAATCCCATTACTTATAAATATGTTAATAGAAAATTCTGTCAAAACAATGCATTATGTTTTTTTTATATATCAAACTATTCTTCAATAACATAGAATCTGACCTCTACAGTTTCATTAACATTTTGGTCACCATGAAATGTATGTCAGGGTATCTATGATAAATTAATTTAATAGGCAACATTCTCTGCTTTTGGACTTGTTCTATATCTTTTCTATGTTTAGTACAGACCACACACTTGTCCCACGGCTGGCGGCGCCACAAATCTTTTTTTTATTTCACTGTAAATAATGCAATGGCTGTATTTGCATACTTATGCTCTGAGTGCTTTGATGTAAACAGCCCTTAGACAATTATGTAAAAATCCTCCCTGTAAATAAAAAAAACAAAACTAACACATTAAAATGGCTTATTTTTGGACAGGACATATCACTGGAGCAAGCCATTTACATGAACTGGCTATGTCAAAGCTGTTAAGAACTAAATATAGAAGGGTTAGTGTGCATTTTTAAGGTTTAACCTACATTATACTGTCAGCTTATTTCCAGCACAGTATAAAAGTGTGACCAGGGTAAACAATTAACTATTCATTAACATATTTATGGGGTCTTATTTGCTGAACTTGAGCTTCAAAAGGAACACAGTTCTAAATAGCCAACCAAACATGCATTTGCCACAGTTACAAATCAATAGTTGACTTTTAAAACGAAAAAAAAAATTGAGCCACATCATTAAGCCCAGTGAAAATTGAGTTCACAGAGTATTATACTGTGCTTACAGAGTGTTCCACTGAAATTTATGATGGAAGTTGAATACTTCTGCCAATATTTGCATGATTTGATCAAATGATTGGCTCATGTCAGCCAATAAATTTCCCACGATCAACCGTACAGTAACCAGGATTGCAAATGCACTGTGGCATGGATCAAATGAATGGATTATTTAAATACACTGACATTTTTTTAATTCATTCATGGGACGAAGGCATCGCTTCCTAGGCCAACATTTAGTACTATCCAGAATTGCCCAGAGGGTGATTAAGAGTCAACCACACTGCGGTGGCTCTGGAGTCAAACGTTGGCCAGACCAGGTAAGGATGGCAGTGTCCTTCCCTAATGGAAGGGATAGGTTTCTCTGACAATTGACAATGGATTCATGATCATTGTCAGACTCGAAATTCCACCATCAAATTCCACCATAACAGGTCCACAGAGGATGCTATATCCCTAGCCCTGCAATCATCCCTGGAACGTCTGGACAACAAAGACACCTACGTCAGAGACTCCTGACTACAGCTCCATCTTCAACGCCATTATCCCCTCCTGACTGATCCAAAACTGTATGACCTTGGTCTTGGCTGAGCCCTCTGCAATTGGATCCTCAGCTCCCTGACCCATAGGCTGCAATCAGTGAGGATAGGTAACTGCACCTCCTCCACAATAATACTCAACACTGGAGCCCCCAACAAAGATGATTCCTCAGCCCCCTACTGGATTCCCTGTACACCCACGACCATGTTGCCAAATTCTGAATGAATGCCATCCACAAGTTCACTGGCGATACCACCGTAGTGGGCAGATATCTAACAATGATGAGTCAAAATACAGAAGGGAGATAGAGGGCTTGGTGACGTGGTACTATGAAAACAATCTGTCTCTCAACATCGGCAGAACTAAAGAACTGATCATCGACTTCAGAAAGAAAGGAGGAGAACACGCCCCCATCTACATCAATGGAACTGAGGTCGAGGGGGTGAGGAGCATCAAGTTCCTCGGAGTGACGATAACCCATGACCTGTCCTGGACTTCCTGCGTGGATGCAACAGTCAAGAAGGCACAACAATGTCTTTTCTTTCTCAGGCTGCTCAGGAAATTTGGCATGTCCATAAGGTTCCTCACCAACTTCTACAGATGCACCATTGAAAGCATACTGTCCAGGTGCGTAACAGCCTGGTGTGGCAACTGCTCTGCCCAGGACCATAAGAAACTACAGAAGGTTGTGTGCACAGCCCAGACCATCACAGAAGCCAGCCTTCTATTCATGGACTCTATTTACATAGCTCACTGCCACGGAAAGGTGGTCAACATCATCAAAGACCCATCGCACCCTGGTAATGACCTTCTACAACCTCTTCCGTCAGGCAGAAGATACAGAAGCCTGAACACACGCATAAGCAGGTTCAGGAACAGCTTCTTTCTGGCCGTTAGCAGACTGTTGAATGGACTCTAGCCTCAAATAACATAACCTGCAATGTAACCTGTATGCCTCTAAGTCTTTTTGATCTGTACATCCTTTGCTTGCTGTGATCTGCCCATACCACTTGTAAACAAAGCTCTTCACTGTATTTTGGTACACGTGACAATAAATCAATCAATCAATAAATCTGCCATGGTGGGGTTTGAACCTGGGTTCCCAGAAGATTAGCTCAGTCTCTGGAATAACAGACCAATGATAATACCACTAGGCCAACAGTACAATTCTACCAGGTCAGATTAAAAAATAGACATGTACTTCCCTCAACTCCAGATCCTAGTAACCCCGAACTCCCGGAAAACTATCATTTGGCTGTTGCAGGACCAGTGGGAACCAACACAGTATAAGTTAGCTGAATCAAAAAAACTAACCCTCAGCATCTTGCAAATGATGACAAGTTTTGTTAGAAACTGTTTTTAAGTTTCAAAATCCCTTGTGGTGATTTAATTACAATTGTAAGTACACTACTAAATATTTTCAGTATTGAGAATCAGGACAGATTGTTTTTTAATCTGATGCAAGAAAGGAAGGAGTGAAGGAATTAATGCCAAAGGTTTATTGATGTAGGAATAAACATACAAAATTACAGTACTTTTAGAAGATCAGGAATAACAAAATTAACACGAAACAATCAGTCAAAACCACAAAAGCAGAACCATATGAGAAAATTGCTCCAATTTTGTAATTTTAAAGTGTTTGTAAACACAGGGGAGATTGCAGGTACATATTTCACATTAAAAATAAATTTAAATTCATTAGAGCACAATTATGAGGTGATACTGAGTCACAGGCCTGTTGACAGTTGTCAGCAACACACACTATTTGTTTTCTACTTCATTTCCAGACTAATGATAATAGTATATGAAACTAGAATAGAAGGTAAGATTACCAAATTACAACAATTTTAATGACATTTTGGATGCCAAATCTTTCAAAAAAATGTGGGAACTATTAGTTTATTATCAATAGATAGGAAAGTGTGCATTGACTGATGATTAAAGCAAACAAGCAGAAAATGTGTTGTCTCAATGCCAGCGTAAAAGCAAGTTAACCAACAACTAATTTACAATTTTCTCATTGAATTTCTCTTCTGTTTTTGCAGAATATTAATAGTGTTGAGTAATGAGCAATGTGCAGTCTATCATATTGTTCAAAAATATAGTGCTCCGTTACTTCTTGCAGTCATTTCTTTCCCATCAATTTTCCACTTACTATTGTATGGTTAATTGGCATTCAACTTGCTTTCCAAACGCTGAGCAATCTTCGACGTAGCCGCGAGGAAATACAACTGTTTCAGTCATAGTTCAATTGGTCACTCTCGCATTTCTGAGGTACAAGTCCCATTCCAGAAGTTGAGCACAAAAATCAAGGCTTGTACTCTAGTGCCGTACTGTGGGCAGGGGTGTTCCTCTGTTAAAAATGCCTTCTTTCAGATGAGATGTTTAACCAAGGCCCTCTCATTTGGACATATAATACCACTTTACAGTATTTCAAAGAAGAATCAGGGAGTCATCCTGAGTACTCTGGCCAATATTTAGCCCTCAATCAACAATATAAAAATAGACCATAATGAATGCAAAATACTGCAGATGACGAAAACTTAAAACATAGAAAATGCTGGAGAAACCCAGGATTGGCAGCATCTATGGAGAGAGAGGGAGAGAGAGAGAGAAAGACAGTTAGTGTTTCAAGTCCAGTATGGCTCTTCTTCAGAATTGTTCTGAAGATGTCACTTCTGTTTCTCTCTCCATAGATGCTGCTAGACCTGCTAAGTTTTTCCAATCATTCTCTGTGTTTGATACAAAAATAGATCATCTAATATTTATCACATTGCTATTTGTAGGAGTTTGCCATGTGTAAACTGGCTGCCAGATACACACTCAGTTGAGAATGGTGCTATGTCACTAACAGGCTACAATATTTGGAGGATCGGCACTCTGCCAATTATAGGAACTACAGTGCTTTTTTAAAAAAAAAATTCTTACATCTAATTTTTCATGATAAAGATTTTCAGGCCAGTAGACCAGTGGATCACTATCATCAGTTCAAGCAGATGGAAGTGCAGGAAAGACAGTGAATGAACTGTTATTTCATCACAGGAAAGTGCTGTCACATTAGGTTTGATACTTTGAGGATAACAACACAAATCAAAGTTATCATCCAAAGGTGACAAGCACATCAATACATCAGTAGGTTAGGCCAGTCTTAGTGTCAGGAAGTGTTGAAATAATATGTATTCTATTAACAACCATAAGCTGCATTAAGTGTACAACTATTGACGTAAGCCATAACTTACACCATTTAGAAGAGAAAATGGGGCAGCACTCTCTGGCTATTATACTTCCTGTTACGATTGTTGGCAATTGGGCTTACCTACTTTAAAAATAAAGTCCCTTAACTTAAACTGATGGAGGATACATAAAAAGTGCGACCCTTTCCACTCAATCACTTGTATTTTCTAAGCTGTGAGACAAGCAGCAGCTATTACAACTCAGCAATGCCACTTAATGCCATTAAGAATTTTTATAGTTTCGAACTGTTTTCATTATTTAAATAATATAATGCACGGGAGAACTACGATTAAGAAAATAAGTGAAAGAATTCCAGGATTACAAAGAAACAAAAGAATATTTACTTTCCAAATCAGAACAAACCAGCACAAGCAATAATTACTAAATAGGTAGGCGGAACAAGT